CATCATCCGGGTTCCATGCATTCATAATACATGCTAAATTTAATTCATGACAAAAATCCAACATTTGTGATTGTCGTTCTCGTGTTACACGGTAATCGAAACCGGCATCATCCCAAAATATTCCTTTTGCACCCATCGATTTCCAACCGTGAACAGCGTGTTTCATTTCTTCAGACCTCAACCATATAATACCACACCACTCCCGCCCATCAATACCTCCACCAACCGCAAATACGGACCGGTACCTCTACCCCCTAGAAAACCAGGCACAACATACACACCACTCATGTCCATTCGACTACCTCAATCTGCATCTCCAGCGCTTATGGCTATCCAATTACCGCAATACTTCCCACCTTACAATTTTTCCGACTACCCACATCGCCCAGCTTACCATACAACACAACCACCCCACCGACGTCCATACCCTTACACACCCATACCACGTAGCACCACCCAACGTACAGCACCCATCGCCGACCCCGCACCCACCCCATCCAACGCCGCACCCACTCCAACCAGTAAACCAAATGTCCGGCGGAAAAGAAAGAAGAATACAACCGTACAAGCAGTACTCCACACATCTGCGTCATTTTCGCCGAAATCTAGTTTTCGGACTTTTTCCCGGTAAAGGTCGTGGTCCGTACCGAGTAGCAGTTGACTGTGTGGTGTCCCTGTTACTGTGCGATAAAAACGTGCGAAATGGGTGTCTAGGAATTTTGACGGGTAGCCGTTTACTAGGAGTCTACATCGGATTTCAAATATCTCTTTTTCGAGATCTCTTGCTTCTGAGCATATCCGTGTGGCTTTTAGTAGTGCGGCGTATGGTATGTTCTTTTTAATATGTATAGGGTGAGCGCTATCGTATGGTAATATATATGGTTGTGCTGCTAACTTCCGAAAAATCGTAGTTCGAAATTTGGGATTTGGGTATTCTGCGTATACAGTTACGTCAAGATAATCCGCTTTGGTGCCGATTTCGTGGGTTAGCCTGATGTGGGGGTCTTTAGTGTTCTGTTGCTCCAGGTAAGTAGTAATTGCGAGAGAGTCATGTTTCGAGGTCATGATGATGTCATCCCGAAATCGGAAATACAGTTCTCGTTCACGTACCTGTTTCTCCACTATGTCTTTCTCCCAGTATTTCATGTAAACGTCTGCTAGGACTTGTGTGACCGCACTACCCATTGCTCCACCTCTGACTTGTTTGAAGTATGTTCCTTCTTAACAGAAGTAGGAGTTATTCAAAACATGTCGAAGAAGTCTTGCAATCGTGTCGATTGTGATGCTGTCTACTCTATCATGTCCTAGTTTGCGTAACATATTGGTGATCTCTACTACCGATTCTTTTTGCGGAATCATTGTGTAGAGATCGGTACTATCAAAGGTAATTAGTGTAGTTTCTCGTACAACTTCGTATGCATCGATTTTGTCCAAGAGATCCAGTGAATTTCTTAGGCTGTACAGTGTGCAGGTATCGAAGATGGGGCGTAGGATTTGATTTAAGTATTTCGAGATCTTAGCCGTGGGAGATTTAATTCCTGCGACGATAGGCCGTAGTGATTCTCCTATCTTGTGATCTTTAGGGTTGTAATACAGATGGGGTAGTTCAATTTCTGAGCGAGTAGGTAAGAGTTTTTGATGGAGTTTGCTAGTTATCCTTTTGTTTTCCGATAACCATTTTGATAGGAGGGTGGTATCGTTATACATTTGCTCCATGGGGTTTAGGTTTATGGGGGTGTATGCGGATGTTTTTAGCATGTAGGCTTCAGATTTGGCTCTGTAGTTTTCTGGTAAGTCGAGGTGTAAGACCTTGGACTTATCGGTTGTTCTGAAAACTACTTCACCTTTGGTTTGCCGTGATTGGAATTTAGCGATGGTGTGTAAGAGACCACTATCAGTTTTTTCTTATCCTAACTGATTTTGCATTGTGTTTTTAACATTGGTGCAAAATTCATTGATTTTCGGGCATATGGTGCTACCCATAGCTCTTACTCTATGAGTTTCAATCAATTTGTCTCTCATTGATTTTATTTCATTTGGTAGCCGTTCTAAGGCTGTGTGGGGTGCTGCTGGTACGTATTTGGGTCCTTTATTCAGTAAATATCGTTCGTATTCTGTCAGTTGTATGGCTAGATTACGAACTTGAGGGAGATAGCCTATTGGTGTGTAGTGAGGATGCACATGTGTGTTAACGGGGCTGGGTCTACGGGTTACCTTTCTTCGATTTTTCCTACTTTTTGCAATAAAAAATGAACTTGTTTGTCTGTTTTGACGGTGTCGAGTCCGTTTTTTAGTGCCAAAAGTTCTGTTACCGTTTTACCTATGTCTGGTGGTAATAAATCGATGTTAGTTTTTATACTGGGTGATACTTCTCCATACTCAATATCTGATGCTTGGATCAGACATTTCGTTAGGCTGTACTTACATTCTTGAATAGCTTTTTTCCAGTTTTCTTGAACTTCAAGAAATTTAGGGTTAGTTTTATCCCCTTTATACTGGAGTTCTATATCGAGTTTGTTCAAAAATGGGGGGGGGGGTGCTAGTGCCGTGAAGCGAGTCTCGAACATGTGTTTCCGTTCTTTTATCACGTTGATTTTATCGTGTAAGGCGATGATTTCGGTACATTTCGGGAGCGGGTCTACTTGGGTGGTGTTCTGTTGATTATATTGGTGGCATTGGGCTTTCAAGTGCAGGTGCGACTCTTGTATGTCGTGTTGCAGTCGCAGCACTCCGTTGCGACGCTGGTACGATGTTATATGGGTTTTCAGCATGGGTTCTACTATGTTATGTAGTTCCTGCTCAATTTAGGGTCGGATGAGGTCCATTTCTTGGGATCCTGATGCTAATAAGTTGAGTTGAACGTCGTAGTTATATTGAGCTTGACTCAACTTCTTAGCTATTAGTATCAGGTGTTTTTTTGCATTCTCATAGTTCGGCGCTATGCTGTACTTTTTTGCCAAAGTGTACACATCAGCCGGTATTATGGGTACGCAGTAGCGGCATTCTGTCTCTAGGTCGTCTTCTTCTTTGGAAAAGGTGGTCGGGTCTATGGCGAGTAAATATTCGTGCCATAGGTCGCATTCACTTTGGTAGTAGTTCAGGAAAAAGTTTAGTATAAGGGTGTCTTGTAATATGCCAGAGTCTAGGGCTTTTAGAGGGCATAAGCAAATGCTTCCCCACAACCAATAGCAATTATGAAGAGTTTTAAACATACCAAATTGATTGAGCTTTTCAAAGGCATCTTCACTTATTCTGTATCACAAAATACAAAGAACTAGAACTGAAAAACTGTTTTGGGAGTTTGGAAGTAATGAAAATTGAAGCTTCGCAATATTTCACCTGTATTCGTTTATTTCTACGGTATATAAATAAAACGTTGTATATGTTTTTTGTAGAGAATGAAACGACGAATCTTTTAAAAAAACTTCAAGTCTCGGGAAAGAAAATTGCAATAGATAAACGGAAAATACTGAGACCGTTATTCTTTGTGACCCAACCGTTATATATCTGATATAACTGTGATCACATGATGGGGGAGAGAGTATAAGATTCTAGCGTATTCTTTTTAGCCCTATCTGAAGAACTATCAAATGTCTTGAATGCCAATAATAACAATTATATGATGATATAGATGGTGAATTATGAGCATAAAGATGCCG